CCGTTCTACCTTCTCAAAAATTTTGTCGGATATAGAAAGACTCACCCTGTATAAACTAATTTGATATTGTATTTATATTGTAATGCCTCTTAAATCAATATTTTTTTTGCATGAATTTTTATTTAACATTTTTTATAGAGCTATTGATCATGTAGAAGATATATTCAACATAATATTGATGATATTATTTCTATATTTCGGTATTCTTTTCGCTTCCTATGGTTTTTGGGTAATAAATGTAAGTATATTGATAAAAGTTTAGTTATGATTTTTGTATTATACATAGTTTTAAATATAGAAAAACTACATTTTTTCATCAAATACCTCACAATAATCACAACTAATTTTACTTCTATTTTCTATTTATATGGTTGATTTTCTAATACTTTTGGAACTTATTTTTCAGTAAATGTTTTGAAACATTGTTATCTTTATTGCATATCACCACGTTTCAATTTAAATTACTTTCATACAAACAAATTTTTCAATACAAACATTAATATACATACAGTGTTCCCTTAAATAATAAATGTTCTACTTTCGTTAATAATGCAAATGTACTTCCGTTAAACATGCAAGAAAATTAGATGTTGAAAAATGTCTTTGAAACCAAGTGTTACTCTAAATTTAAAAGATTCTATGGATAAAAGAAGTAATAACAAAGCACACGGATTCTAATAATATTTAGTATTAAAAATATAAATTTTTTAGTAAAATATGAATATTACATATAATTGTATATTTTAATGATATAACTAGATGCTCGAAAGTGATCAACATTTTACAATCTTTCACATTATATATATTGTAAGCATCTTTACCAATACGTTTGGTCACATGTGCATTTATTGTGCTGTTGGCGAAGTGTTAACATCTCAGGTAAATTTGAAATTGTTTAGCTTCATTAGCCATTGTATTTTTTGTGCATAATTGCACATTATAATAGATTAATTCTACGAAAATGTTATAAATTTATATACAGTTTTAATGGAAAATTAATATTATTGGACCCAACTGGTTATTATTTTGAAAAAGAATTTATTGCGGAAAATATAATCTTAGCTATGGTTTAAACCTCCTTCACATTAGGCGAACGACTTACCGTGGCATATGATAATATTTATCGCAATAAACAATCTAATGATATTTTCGCATCTTTTTTGAAGTATGCGTCCATTCGATTTGTCGGTCTTCAGACGCAAAACAATAGATACGCCATTTATTATGTGATGCAATACAAATTTATACTCATCATTTACCAAATGTAATTTATACATATAAATACATATTTCACGTACTATGTATTAATAAAAAACTTAAACAATTTCGATGTCATCTAAAGTTCAACTAGTTAAAATTGGATTACGCACATTTTAAACTGCACATAAATTTTATAAATATTACAGCGAGTGATTTCAACAATTTGTAACTAATATTTTTATTTATTTATGACAACTTGTAGTGTGATCAAATTCATCATGCTGTATATTTCAATGAATGGTATACTATGGATCCAAGAAAAACTTTGAACTTAATTCTTTTAATGATAAGATCCAGTAAGCCTCTTTATCTTAATATTGGTAAAGTGTTTCCGTTGACAATGGCTACATTTTGTAACGTAAGTAATTTTAAATTACCACTATGAGTTTAATTTAATTAATAATGTACTTTTTTACAAGGTAGAGTTAAATAACATATAAAAATAATTTTAAATCATTCATATATGTATACAAACTTTATTCTGAAGCATTTAATATGTTTCCAACATTTAATACGATCAAAAATTAAGTATCTTAACGATTCACTAAAAAATATTTTCTATTTGTATCCGGTACTGCAATGTCATTAACGTATACTTTATTATATAGCTATTGAAAACGTCAGCCGGTTACTTATCCGTATTACTTACAACAAGAAATCAATCGAAAATGTGAAATAAATACAAATAATGCTTGATTTGATATTAGTACGTCATATGAAAGATTTGGCTAGAGTTGGTCAAATAATTTGAATTTTATAATATAAAATTGAAAACTTTACGTGATATAATTGTATACAATAAATTAATTTAATAAAATTTATCCTATTGTTATAATTAAATTGAATATTTCTTTTATTTATTGAAAATAGAAGTTATTAGATAATAGATATAAGGTTAGCTTACATACTAAAAAATGAAGGAAGAGGCAATAAGTCGAAAAAAATGTGTACGTACCAATAGAATAAAAATATTAAATAGCATTATATTACAAATTCAGAAGTAGGTATAAATACATTGAATGCATGGGAATAGAATTCTACAATACGTTTCGACAGAAACTGGCTTGCTATAGCAAATGTTTAAATCCAGACAATGATTATGTTGGAAAGCAAAGCAGGCATGTAAGTATTTTTCAGGTATGGTACCTGTTTACTTCATAAATAATGATTGAATAACATGGACTAAAGATAAGTATAAATAAATAAAGCTCAGGAAACTGTTAAACATATTTGACGTCAACTGAACATTTTTGTACGTTCACAGAAATAGAGAAGATTATTTATGAAACATACAGTTAATAAAAATGATACATATACGACACAGATTAAAGTAATTATCTATTAATATCACAACACAAAGAAAAATACACTTGTCTATTTAGTTCACTATTATACTCAAATTATTATGTAATGATGATAGTAATACAATATCCAGATGTCTATAGACACCGCAAGACTATAGGTAACTAATGATCGATTACCACTGCATCAGAACATGACCATCACATCTACACGAATTGCCATAACCAAGTACTTGTCCACCAGTCATTAACTCAGTTTTTATTTATGAACACATCGAACGATGTCGTACAAACTGGTAGTTATTCAAAGTTGTACAACAAGAGGGTACATTTAGAGTTTTGAAAATTTACTACTTACAGTGCACATGAACTATTCTCTTGTTTTTAGAATTTTTATTATGGACGAGAAATATCGTCTCTGCTAGAACTCATGTCGTTATGTGATGAAGAAATGAATATCAGTCTACATTTTACGTTCAGCATGGAAACATCAAAATCCCTTACGTATCAAAATACTCCTCATAACAAATATCATAACGCGTCATTATTAGGAAAAGGTCAGAGAGCTATGTCAAAAGTCGGACACGATTAATATTTGTTATAAGATACATTAAAGAAGAAAAATCCCTTTGTTGGATTTACCGGGATATTTAAACTGTTTAACACAATCTTGTTGAAATTTTTGTATACAAATAGATTTTGAATGGGCAGTGAGGTTAAATCGATATAGCTTAGAATTCATCGGACTTTGGCCTAAATCTGAAGAAACAACATCGGAAAAGCGTATGTACAATTTACGTGCGCTTTTCGTTTTCATAGTGATGTTATTCGCTGCTGAAATCCCTGCAATACATTCTCTGATAAGAATCCGTTCTGACATTTTATTACTGTCGGATAACTTGCAGTATACTTTACCAGCCGCCACCTGTATCTTAAAATTTCCAATTTTTTGGTGGAAGAAAAAAGGTAGGTTACAACTTGACTATTGCACAATTAATACATATTAATAAATTAAAAATGTTTATATATTAGGTGTTTTATATTTTAGCGTATTGCTATTTACTGTTCGAGCAATAAAGATTGAATTGTATTAAATTTTTCCAAACACACACACACACAAATTAGGTTTACAGATTCATATAATATTAAGTACATTATTTATACTTTATTACTTCTTGCCCGATTTTTTAGACTAATTTATTTGTTTTTACACGTTAAGTTTTTAAATAAAGTATTATGCAACACTTGTACCTACGGACAAACAGTTTATTACATAATGTTTTCTAAATATTAAAGTTCAACTTCATACAAATAACGTTTCTATATAAAATTTATTAAAATTTTGGATTATATTTAATTGTCTTATTTAGACAGTTGTAATGTAAATTACTAAAGAACCGCATATATTATTCTGCATTCTTCTTAATGTCCTTTTTCACAATGTTTTTTGTAAAGCTGTTGCAGCGATAGTAAATATGATTGCGGACGATTGGCTAAAAGCGAAAACATTTCAAGAAGAAACAACTATGATCGCAAGGGCGCAAATTGCGCGTACTATTATAAAATGTGGGTACTCCGTTATGGGAGTGAACTGGTGTGTTTTAGTTGTTTTCCCCATATTTGGCCACTCGGTGAGATACCTGTCTAATATCACTGATCTGGAGAGGCCATTACCACTTCAGACATATTATGTCTACGACACGACTAAAAGTCCACAATACGAAGTAACATACGCTCTTCAAAGTATTGCCCTTATCTTCAATGTTATGTGCTATTCAGGCATTGACAATTTTCTTAGTCTTTCGGTATTTCATATCTCTGGGCAGCTGGACATTCTGAGAAATCGTCTTATGCATTTACATAATGTCGCGAATTACAATGACGTTTTGAAGAGTTGTGTGACAGAACACATCCGGCTATTTAGGTATGTACTATTTTGCATATATTGTAGATGTATTCTTAAACGTATACATTGAAATTACATTGAATAATATGCACTGAATATACATTGAATAATATGTGAAAGAATATATGAGTAATCTGTAAAAAAACAAAATTAAATATTGATTGTAAAATTAAGTATAAGAGAGACTTCGTATACATATGATGTGCAATATTGTCGTATACAAAAATTATGAAATAAAACCTCTTATGTTTTATAAAAATGTAAATATGTACGCGTTTGTGTAACTACTTTTATTTTTACGTACTAAAATATGTCAGTTATTAAATTTTTCTGGACATTACAATATATTATATTTAATTTTCTTCTTTTTTTTTAATAGAGTAAGCAGTATGATTTAAATTTATGTTATATTCAGGTAAAATTAATACTTTTCTTAATTATATGTATAAAATAACATGGAATTGTATTTATGTTATAATGCCTTTTAGATCAATATCTTTTTGCATGAATGTTTATTTAATATACTTTTTATAGAGCAATTGATCATGTAGAAGATGTATGCAACATACTATTGATGATATTATTTTTATATTTCGGTATTCTTTTCGGTTTCTATGGTTTTTGGATAATAAACGTAAGTATATTGATAAAAGTTTAGTTGTTATTTTTTTATATTTTACACAGTTTTAATAAAGTTTATAGAAAAACTTTATATTTTTACATCAAATATCTCACAATAATAATCACAACTAATTTTACTTGTATTTTTTATTTATATTGTTGATTTACTAATACGTTTTGAACTTATTTTTCAGTAAACGTTTTGAAACATTATTATATTTAACAACGTTAATGCTTTCTTGACCATACCTGGTATATTACATGCCTCGGTGTTCGAATTCGTGAGACGCCCGCCTATAATAGGAAGGTTCAAACCATGGCTGAGGTAATATCTTTCGCAATAAATTTTCCGTATTATTAAAGATGCCAGGTATGGTCAAGAAAACACTGACGTTGATAATTAACTCTGGCTACATTGAAGAATTCTGATTAGTTGATTATTATATTTAATACTTATCACCAATTTTGAATTTATATAACTTTGATACAAGCAAATTTCTGAATGCAAACATTAATATACATATAGTGTTTTCTTAAATAATAAATATTTTACTTTAGTTATAATAATACAAACGTACTTCCATTGAAAATATAAGAAAAAGTAGAAGTTGACAAATTTCTTCTAAAACTAACAATAAGTGTTACCCTAAATTTAAAAGATTTTACGCGGATAGAAGAAATGATAATGAAGCACACTAATTCTAATAATACTTAATACTGAAAATATAAATATCTTAATAACATATGAATATTACATACATGTAATTGTATATTTTAATGATATAACTAGATGCTCGAAAGTAAACAGCATTTTACGATCTTTCTTATTATATATCTTGTAAGCGCCATTACCAGTCTGTTTGGTCACATGTGCATTTATTGTGCTGTTGGCGAAATGTTAACGACTCAGGTAAATTTGAATTTGTTTAGTTTCGTCAGTCACTGTATTTCGTATGCATAATTGCACAAATATAATAGATTTATTCTATGAAATTATTATAAATTTATATACAATTTTACATTTAACATTTAACAAATGTAATATATCTTACACGTAAGACATATTATACGTAATATGTAGGTATTGTATTTAATAAAAAATCTTAAACGTTTTCGATTCAACAATAAAATTCAGCTAGTTAAACTTGGTGTACGCACACTTAAAAACATAAATTTTATAAATATCACAGAATGAGATTTCACCACCTTGTAAATAACGTTTTTATTTTTTTATGACATTTTGAAGTGTGACAAAATTTATTATGCTGCATATTTCAATGAATGGTATACTATGGATCCAAGAAAAGCTTGGAACTTAATTCTTTTAATGATAAGAACTAGTAGGCCTCTTTATCTTAATATTGGTAAAGTGTTTCCATTGACAATGGCTACTTTTTGTAACGTGAGTTATTTTAAATTTTACCTATGACTTTAATTTAATTTTTATTGTACTTTTTTTATATACTAAGTAGAGTTAAATAAAAACTAAAAATAATATAAAATCATTCGTATCTGCATGCAAAATTTTTTCTGAAGCATTAAAAATGTTTCTAACATTTAATACGATAAATATTAAGTATCTTAACAATTCATTTATTTAAAAGTATTTTCTATTGGCTTTTGCTATTGTAGTATGTTATTATCATATCTTTTATTATATAGCTATTGAAAACGTCAGCCGGTTACTTATCCGTATTACTTACTACAACAAATCAATCGAAAATATGAAATGAATACAAATAAAGCCTGATTCTATACTAGTAGGTACTTCATATTAGCGATTTGACCAAAGAGTTGGTCAAATAATTTAAAATTTATAATATAAAATTGAAGTATAATATGAAATTACAAACTTTAGATGATATAATTGTGTATAATAAATTAATTGAATAAAATTTATTCTGCTGTTTTAATTAAACTGAGTAATTATTTCATTTAATAAAAATAGAAGTTATTAGATAATAGATAGAAGGTTAGCTTATAGATACTAATAAAATGAAGGAAGAGGCAAGGGATAAGTCGAACAAAATGTGTACGTACCAATAGAATAAAAATATTAAATAGCATTATATTACAAAGTAATAAGTATAAAATACATTGAGTGCATGGGAATAGAATTCTACGATACGTTTCGACAGAAACTGTCTTGCTATAGCAAATGTTTCAATTCAGGCAATGATCATGTTGAAAAGTAAAGCAGGCATGTCAGTATTTTTCAGGTATGGTACCTGTTTACTGTATAACTAATAATTGAATAACATCGACTATAGATAAATATTGTATAAATAACTAAAAACTCGAGTAAACTGTTAACGTTAACTGAACATTTTTGTATGTTCATAGAAATAGAGATTATTTATGTAACTTGCAGTTAATAAAAATAATGCATATATGATACAAATTAAAGTAATTCTATATTAATATCACAACACACAAAGAAAAATACTCTTACCTATTTATTTCACCATTTAACTCAAATTATTATGTAATGATAAAAGTAATAAAAGTAATACAATATCAAGATGTCTATAGACATCGCAAGTCTATAGGCAACTAATGATCGATTACCACTGCATCAGAACATGACCACCACATCTACACGAATAGCCATAACCAAGTACTTGTCCACCAGTCATTATCTCACTTTTTATTTATGAACACTTCGAACGATGTCGTACAAACTGGTAGTTATTGAAAGTTGTGCAACAAGAGGGTACGTTTAGAGTTTTGAAAATTGACTGCAGTGCATATGTACTATTCTCTTGTTTTTAAGAATTTTTATTATGCACGAGAAATATCGTGTCTGCTAGAATTTATGTTGTTTTGCTATGGAGAAATGAATATCAGTCTACATTTTACGTTCAGTATGGAAACATCGAAATCCTTTGCGTACGAAAGTACCTCTAATATTAAATATCATAACGCGTCATTCTTAGGAAAAGGTCAGAAAACTATGTCAAAAATCGGACACGATTACTATTCGTTATAAGATACATTAAAAAAGAGAATCTCTCTGTGGTTCTGTATCATTCGTATATTTAGACATTGCAACATGTACATATATTGTAAAGACCGAAATAATAATGGACATGTTATAGATTCTTGCTTTATCTTGAAAGTATCTTACATACAATAAATAACCCATTTAAGAAAATTATTATCTCTATTTTTAACGTTATTGTAACATTTAGTATGTAACACAGCTTAATCACAATTAATACCGAACGATTTTTCTGGATATTTAAAATGTTTAACACAATCTTGTTGAAATTTTTGTAAAAAAATAGATTTCGAATGGGCAGTGAAGTTAAATCGATATAGCTTAAAATTCATTGGACTTTGGCCTAAACCTGTACAATCAACATGGGAGAAGCGTATGTGCAATTTACGTGCGCTTTTCGTTTTCTTAGTGATGTTATTCATCGTTGTGATTCCTGCAATACATTCTATGATAAGAATTCGTTCAGACATTTTATTACTGACAGATAACTTGCAGTATACTTTACCAGCCACCACTTGTGTCTTAAGATTTCCAATTTTTTGGTGGAAGAAAAAAGGTCGGTTACAATTTTATTATTGCACAATTAATACGTATTAACAAATTAAAAAAATATTTTTATCGTATGTGTTTTACATTTCAGCGTAACGCTTGCTATTTACTAGCTACTTTATTTGTGCTTGTAGTAGTTAGTTTATAAATAAAGTATTATGCAACACTTATACCTACAAACTATTTAATTACATAACATTTTCTACATATTAAAGTTCGACTTCATACATTTAACGTTTTTATCAAATATAATAACATCTTTGGTTATATTTAATTGCTTTATTTAGACATTTGTTAATGTAAATTAATAAATAATAATACGTATTATTTTGCATTCTTATTAATGTTCTTTATCATGTTTTTTGTAAAGCTGTTACAGCGATAGTAAATATAATTGCGGACGATTGGCTAAAAGCGAAAACATCTCAAGAAGAAACAACTATGATCGCAAAGGCGCAAATTGCGCGTACTATTATAAAATGTGGGTACTGTATAATGGGAGTGAGCTGGTGTGTTTTAGTTGTTTTTCCTATATTTGGCCACTCGGTGAGATACCTGTCTAATATCACTGATCTGGGAGGGCCATTACCACTTCAGACATATTATATCTACGACACGTCTAAAAGTCCACAATACGAAGTAACATACACACTTCAAAGTATTGCCCTTATCTTCAATGCTATGTGCTATTCAGGCATTGACAATTTTCTTAGTCTTTCGGTATTTCATATCTCCGGTCAGCTGGACATTCTGAGAAATCGTCTTATGCATTTACATAATGTCGCGAATTACAATGACGTTTTGAAGAATTGTGTGGAAGAACACAACCGACTATTTAGGTATACACTTTCTCATATATTGTAGACGTATTCTTAAACATATACATTGAAATTACATTCAATAATGTGCACTGAATATACATTGAATAATATGTAAAAAATAGATGGGTAATCTGTAAAAAGACAAAACTAAATATTGATTGTAAATTTAAGTATAATATAAGAGAGACTTCGTATATAATTTGCTGTGTATTGTCGTATACAAAAATTATTAAATAAAACCTGTTATGTTCTATAAATATATAACTATATGTATGTATTTGTGTAATTACTTTTATTTTTACGAACTAAAATGTCTCAATTATTAGATATTTTTGGACATTACGATATATTATATTCAATTTTCGATGTATTATATTCAATGCCTTTTACATCAATATTTTATGCATGAATTTTTACTTAATATATTTTTTATAGAGCTATTGATCATTTAGAAGATGTATTCAATATAATATTGATGATATTGTTTCTATATTTCGGTTTTCTTTTCGCTTTCTATGGTTTTTGGATAATAAACGTAAGTATATTGATAAAAGTTTAGTTGTTATTTTTTATATTATGCATAGTTTTCATATAGAAAGATTTTATATTTTTACATCAAATATCTCAAAATAATTACAACTAATTTTACTTCTATTTTTTATTTACATTGTTGATTAGCTAATACTTTTTGAACTTATTTTTTAGTAAATAATTTAAAACATTGTTATATTTATATTTATTACTTTTCACCGATTTTCACTTTACAATACGTTGATACAAACAAATTTCTCAATGCAACTATTAATACACGTACAGTGTTTTCTTAAATAATAAAAGTTTTACTTTTGTTTGAAAATTTCTTTTAAAACTAAGTGTTACCCCAAGTTTCAAAAATTTATGGGTAGAAGAAATGATAATGAAGTACACGAATTCTACTAATATTTAGCACTAAAAGTATAAATATCTTAGTAACGTATGAATATTTCATACATGTAATTGTATATTTTAATGATATAACTAGATGCTCGAAAATAAGCAACATTTTACGATCTTTCACATTATATATATTGTGAGCCTTTTTACCAATACGTTCGGTCACATGTGCATTTACTGTGCTGTTGGCGAAGTGTTAACAACTCAGGTAAATTTGAAATTGTTCAGCCACTGTATTATTTCTGCACAATTGCAAATGATAATGGATATATTCTACAAAAATGTTATAAACTTCTATATAGTCTTAATGGAAAATTAATATTATTCGACCGATCTGGTCATAATTTTCAAAAAGAATTTATTGTAACAAATATAACCTCAGCCATGGTTTAAATCTCCTTCACATTAGACGGACGAGGCATATGGTAATATTTATTGCAATAAACAATCTAATAATATTTTCGTGTCTTTAAAGTACGCGTCCATTCGGTTTATCGGTCTTCAGACACCAAACAATTGCTATTTATTATTTAATGCAAAACAATTTTACACTCTTCATTTACAAAATGTTATTTATATCAATACACATTTCATGTACTATGTATTGATCGAAAATCTTAAGCAATTTCGACGTGTTATAAAGTGCAACTAGTTACAATTCGAACACACACAAATGAAATCGGCACATAAATCTCATAAATATTACAGCAACTGATTTCACCAATTTGTAACTAACATTTTTATTTATTTATGACGTCTTGAAGTGTGGTCAAATTCATTATGCTATATATTTCAATGAATGGTATACTATGGATCCAAAAAGAGCTTGGAATTTAATTCTTTTAATGACAAGATCCAGTAAGCCTCTTTATCTTAACATTGGTAAAGTGTTTCCGTTGACAATGGCTACATTTTGTAACGTAAGTAATTTTAAATTACCAGTATGAGTTTAATTTAATTAATAATGTACTTTTTTACAAGGTAGAGTTAAATAACATCTAAAAATAATTTAAAATCATTCATATATGTATACAAACTTTATTCTGAAGCATTTAATATGTTTCCAACATTTAATACGATCAAAAATTAAGTATCTTAACGATTCACTAAAAAATATTTTATATTTGTATCCGGTACTGCAATGTCATTAACGTATACTTTATTATATAGCTATTGAAAACGTCAGCCGGTTACATATCCGTATTACTTACCACAAAAAATCAATCGAAGATGTGAATTATGCCTGATTTAATACTAGTACTTCATATTAAAGATTTGACCAAAGAGTTAGTCAAATAATTTAAAATTTATAATATAAAATTAAAGTTACATGTAAAATTGAAAACTTTACATGATATAATTGTGTACAATAAATTAATTTAGTAAACTTTGTGCTGCCGTTATAATTAAACTGAGTAATTATTTTATTTATTGAAAATAAAGGGTACCAGATAATAGATAGAAGGTTAACTTAGCTACTAATAAAATGTAGGAAAAGAAAAGGAAGTCGAAAAAAATGTCTACGTACCATTTGAATAAAAATAATAAATACTATAATATTTTATTACAAATTAATAAGTATAAAATGCATTGAGTGCATGGGAATAGAATTCTATGATACGTTCCTACAGAAAATGTCTTGCTATAGCAAATGTCTAAATTCAGACAACGATCATGTCGAAAAGTAAAGCCGTCATGTAAGTATTTTTCACGTATGGTGCTTACACTATAAATAATAATTGAATAACATCGACTAAAGACAAGTACAAATAGATGAAAACACGAAAAAAACTATTTAACGTTAACTGAACATTGTTGTACTTTCATAGAAATAGAGGAGATTTATGTAACATGCTGTCAATAAAAATGATTCATAAATGATACAGATTAAAGTACTTCTATATTAATATCACAACACAAAAAGAAAAATGCTCTTTCCCATTTATTTCACCTATTTATTTCACCATTTAACTCACATTATTGTGTAATAATAAAAATAATAAAAGTAATACAATATCCAGATGTCTATAGACATCGCAAGGCTATAGACAACTCATGATCGATTACCACTGCATCAGAACATGACCAATACATTTACATAAACTGCCGTGAGACCAGACACTTATCCACCAGTCATTACCTCAGTTGTTATTTATGACTACTCCGAACGTTGTTGCACTGTAGTTATTCAAAGTTGTACAACAAGAGGGTACATTTAAAGTTTTTTAAATTTCCTTCTAGTGCACATGGAATGTCTCCTGTTTTTAAGAATTTTTATTATGCACAGGGAATATCGTCTTATAGCTACCTACAGCTGACGTCGCTTGCAATAAAGGAAGAATTAACTGTCAGTCTACATCGTACATTCAATATGGAAACATCAAATTTCCTTACATATGAAAGTACTTCTCATCGCACTTCTCAGAGCACATATCATAATGGGTTACTATTAGAAAAAGGTTAGACGAACAAAGCTATGTCGAAAGGAAGATACGGTTACCATTCATTATTAAATTCGTTAATAAGTGAATATTTCTTCATTATTTTTCATATTTATAAATTGTAATTATATTATGACATTTGAAATAGTAGACTCGTCAAGGTTTTTCAATTTTTTATGTGTTATTATATTATGTTAATAGAATAATTATTACAAGTTATGTCAAAGCAGATTTTTCTTATTGATATCAAAATTATTTGTAATTATATCATATGAATAAATTTGCAATTTATTTTCCTAAATTGTAAATTAATGGTTGCATTTCATGTGTAATATTGCTTATGCGATAAATAAGTAATACTGACTTATGTATATTTCCTTTCTTTTATATGAGAAGCTCCTAAACATATTCTATAAAACCTTACCGAAATAAATAAATTACTTGACAAGATTATCACTTTCTTATTTTTAGAGTTATTGTAATTGATACATGTTCTAGCTTAATCACGATTAATATCAAACAGTAATTGTCCTTATACAGGGTGCTACGCAAGACTTTGACTTCCGGTCATGGGAAGGTAGAAGGGACTAAGACAAACAGAAAAGTATTGTACTATTTTGCGCTTGGACGAATAGTTATCGAGATACGAAATTTTAAAAATCGCCGTATTAGCCCAACCTACTGGCGAATGTAAGCGCGCGGCGAGATGCGTCGGCCTAGCGGCCCCGCTCGAGGCGGTGTTCGGCGAGGAATAGAATGGCGGTGCGGGGCGAGGAGTAGGGAGGCGAGGCGCGCCGCTGCCCGTCCGCCGCTTACGCGACCGCTCGCACGTCTCCCCGCGCGGGGCCGCTAGGCCGGTCACCTCACCGCG